TCTAAAATCCAAGATAATACTAACAGTAAAAAATCCTAGGAGGGGGGATCAGGAAAATGCTAATTTTTTTCGCAAACTCCGAGTGCAATTTTTTTTTGATAAAATTCCATCATTTGGACTCAACATCACCCTCTATGAGTTTCATTTGGGTCCCATGCTCAAAAGTCAAGTTTCAGCATACTGAAAAATCCTGGATACGTCACTGATACCTTGTTCGATAGAATATATTGAGATAAGAAAAAGTCTAAAAGGCTTCGAGTCTATGGCCTATTCAGGAAGGTTTATAGTCATTAGGTTTAAGAACTAAGCATTCGAAAAAAAATCAAAGTTAAGATTTTTCATTCGAAATTTTGCTCATATGTACTCTTCATTTTAGTCTTTTAACAATGCATGATTCTTAGTAAAACCTTTCGTTACAATACTATGGGCTCGAATCCTTTTTAGGAATTTTCTTATCTTCATAAACTCTATTGAATGAAGTATGCATGACTCAAAAAAACAAAACTGAACATTTCGGATATTTTGCCCCATAAGTCAAAATATGAATCTGAGGAAAGTTCGACTCTTTTATACTTGAAACTTTATCATAATGTAATGAGATGAAATCTTTTTTTTTTTACTTTTAATTGGTTCAGGTAATTTAACCTGTTCAAAAGGTTTTTCATCAATATCAGTTGGTCGAATATTTTGAAAACGTTTTTCCCAAAAAAGTTGTCTTGGTTTAGTTTTTTCACTTGGTTTTCCATTAGCATTCGATTTAGTTTGATGAGTAATTTGAGCTTTAACTTCATCACGTTCTATAGGATAATGTGTAACAGGTTGTTTAAATATTGGTAATGTTTGTCGTAAAGGACATCTTAATGATGTATCAGTTTTTGAACCTAATTTAATAGAAAACACAAAACAAAAAGATTAAATTTACAAAAAAACCAAACAAACAAACAAACTTCGAACAGTTAAATTTCCATCGATTATTGGTTTTACACCATTTCCATGGCTAATTTTAAGTTTTTTTGATGCATTATCTTGTTGTAATGAACGAGTTAATTTCGGTGGATGAATATTTAATGAACGATTTGCATTTGATAATAATAATGATGATGAATTTATATTTCGATTTGTTGATTCATGCATAATGATAATAATCTAAAATTTTTAATTTCTATTTATTTACAAATTATTGTCAGTATTATGAATAATAAAATATACAGCTTTTTGTTTTCATATTACACTTTTTGAATAAAACTAAAAACACGCAAGAAAGAAAAAAAAACAACGAAGCGTTTCTTCATTTTTTGCTCTTTTTTTTTTTGTTGTTGACTAGATCATATGAGATGATATAGATTCGATTAATTCATCAATTAATGATGATACAATATATTGAATATTATCTAATATACATTCAGTTATATTATCATTTGATGATATAGATCGTGTACGACGTTTTTTATTGCTTTTTATTGATGATGATGATGAATTTTTATTTCGTAAACGCTTACTAGTACGACTATTATTAGAATCGATAGGAGATTGTTGAAGAAAATGATTTGGTGAAAATTTTGTTTCATTTGGAATTAAATTTGGATGATGAAAACGACAATAAATTTTTTCGATTATACCATCTATATGATATGATTTTTCTTCGAATTGTTTAGTTGTTAATTTCATTGGATGAATTGTTGAACGTCGACGAGGAGTTTGTTGATGATATTCTTTTTGATGAGGCTAAAATATTCATATTAAAAAAAAACTTTTAGTTATCGATAGAAAATTTATTATATTTAACGTTTAGAATATGTTTTCTTTTACTATGAATTAAATAATTAATTCATGAATGCTATTATTAAAATCTCTCTATTGTAAATAGCATGTAGATTATAAAAAGATGTTTACAATACGAAAGTACTTACGAGGGAACATCGCCAACTGTCCAATCGCTTTTTTAATAAAACCTACTGGGTTCTAGGTTATCGACTATGCTGATTCCGAATATGGGCACGAGAAATGCCCTTAGGTCTTTATAGGGTGGTTTTCTAGAAAACCAGATCTCCAGAAAACTAATTTAAACTAAATTTTGTTTTTGACCTACTCAGATTATAGAGCACATTGAGTTGGCTATAAATCAATAGTTTTTTCTGTTT